TAACTATTATAACTGTCCTACTAATCTGTTTTAAAACTGTCTCATTGTTTTTTCTTTCTCAATAGATTTAATTTTAAAAAAGAACATTAGAAGTGTTTTTAAAAGGGAAAGGTTTATAAGAGTATGGAAAGGATATACTGAAATAAATATAGCATTGATACTTTGCTGATTTTCACTTATCACAGGGGTGTCTAGAATGTAACTTCTGCAATAAGTAAGGGACCATTGTACCCTAAACTGAAAGAAAAGGCTCCCAAATGATAAACATATGAAAGCAAGACTAAATCTTATAACTGATACCTAGTCATATTCAGAGGATTCTAATATATAAGCGTGGTATGACTTTTATCTCTACTATAAGAGTTAAAAGGTTAAGACACATAGATTGAAAGACAAAATAAAAGCAACTTCTCAAGAATAAATTCAGTTATACAAAAATTAAATTTTGACATATCATAAAAAGGAGGAATGAGCGAATGAAAACATAGTTTTTATATATGATCCAAGTTAAGCTGTTTTCAGCTTGAAATAGCCAAGTATAAGTATGAAATGTTTCATGTAAGCTTGGCAGTAAACACGAAACAGATATCCATGGTCGCTGCAAACAATATAGAAGGAAAGGATCCAAAGCGTACCACCATAGAAAATTCATCAAGCGAAAACAGAAACAATGAGAGGCAGAAAGAAACAAGACACCTATAAAACTACCAGGAAACAAATAACAAAGCAGCAGAAGTGAGTCCTTATATGTTAATTACCTTAAACGTAAGTGGATTATAAAACTAAATTCAGTAGTGCATTAAAAGAATCAGCTTTTACACTCAAGTGAGTTTTATCTATGGAATGCAAGGAGAGCTCAACATTGGCAAGTAATAAATGTGACACACCACATTAACAACATGAAGGACAAAAGCCATGTGACCATCTCAATAGATCCAGAAAAAGCATTTGACAAAATTCAATACTCTTTCATGATAAAAAACAATCCCCACAGACTAGGTTTAAGGAAATAAACCTCACAATAAAGGCTACTTGGTACAAACTTACAACTAAAATTGTATTCACTCATGAAAAGTTGAAAGCTCTTTCTTCAAGATTGGAAGTGGTAACAATAAGTATGTTCATCACCCCTTTTGATCACCATGAAACTGAAAGTCCACAGCAATTAGAAATAAATACATGAATCTGCCTCGAAAAAAGAAGTAAAACTGTTTACTAATAACATGGTCTTATTTGTAGAAAACACTAAATTTTAGACTCCATTAAAAAACTGTTAGAACAAATAAAAAATTCAGTAAGCTTACAGTAAATAAAGTTAACACAAAAATCAGTAACATCTCTACATATATAATGAATATAGCCAAAAAGAAAATTAAGAAAACTGTCTCATTTATGATAGCATAAAAAAAAAGATTTAGGAGTAAACTTAACAAGTAGAATGACAGAACTGTGTATTAAAAACCAGAAAACACTGATGAAAGTGGTGTGGTGAAAAGCAAAGTGTAAAGATTCACCCATGGAGGCTGAGGAGAGATAATCTTTATTTATCTGTCCAACAACATCCAACATGGAGTTGGGAATGTCAACCCCCAGCAGGAGCTACAACTATAGATTTTATAGGGTCAGAGTTCTGGGCAGTTGGGGAAACAAGAACGTTTTCTTATTTGGCTTGGAATATGTCAGTGCAGTGGAAATTTGTATTACTGGGAGTCTGTTAGATCTTTTCACTGTGTCCTCTTAGGGCTGGAATGTTCTGCCACATATGAAGGAGGGAGGGCTGCTTAGGTCTGCTAAAGTTCATTTTAGTCCAGGATGTCTTTTCTATTCCAAGATGGCTGTGCTTTAGCCCATAACAAAAGAAACTGATGAATCTGGGCATGATGGTGCACACTTGTAATCCAAGCATTCAGGAGGCTGAGATAGGAAGATCACTGAGAGATCAAGGTCCACATGGGTTACATGGTGAATTCAAGGTCAGCCTGAAATATACAGTGAGATCCTGTCTCAAAAACAAAACAAAACAAAAAAACTGAAGAGACCAATAAATAAAAAGATAATCCCATATTCATGAATTAGAGAATTAACACTGTTAAATATTTATACAAACCAAAGTAATCTATAGCTTCAATGATATCTCTAGAAAAATTCATGTCATTTTTCACAACAGTCCTTAAATTCCTCTACAACTATAAAAGACTCTGAAAAGCCAAAACACTCTCAAACAAAGCTGAAAACACTACATTTCCTAATTTCAAAACATTACACAAAACACTGGTAATCGAAACAGCATGGTACAACCTCAAATAGGCACATCAATTAATAGAAAAGATTAAAAAACCTAGAAACAAATCTATGCATTTCTGATCAACTGATTTTTGACAACAGTTCCAAGAAAACACATCAGCAAAAAAAATCAGTCTCTCAATAAATGGCACCAGGAAAAGTAGAATATAAATGTAGAAATGACATTTGATTCTTATAGCACATATAAAAATCAACTCTAAGTAGATTAAAGTATAATATATAAAACTACCAAAATAAAACATAAGAGAACTACTTCATGACATTGGTCTGGAGGACAACAATATTTTGGGTATGACCTCAAAAGCATGGGCAACAAAAGAAGAAATAGGCAAATGAGGTTACATCAAACTAAAAAGCTCTACAAAGCAAAGGAAGTAAAGAATAAAACAAAGAGGAAACCTACAGAATGGGAGAAAATACTTGAAAACCACACATCTATGTATGGTTTAATGTGTAAAATGTAGACAGAATCCAAACAACCTAACAGAAAAAATTTCTAATTTTTTAGAAATGCAAAAATATTTTTCAAAAAAAGGCAAATGGCCAAGAGGCTCGTGTAAAAATGCTCAGCACCATTAATCACTAGGAAAATGCAACTGAAAACCACAATGGGGCATCACTCCATATTGGCTAGAATGGCTGTTATTAAAAAGATGGAAGGTAGGTGTTGGTGAGGATGTGGGATAGACGGAACCCTGCATACTGTTGGTGGGCATGTAAATTACACATCCATATGGAAAATGGTCAGAGGTTCCTCACAAAACTAAAAACACCATGTGATCCACCAGCCTCACTTCTGATCATCTCTAGCCAAAGAAATTAAAGTCCACATGTCTAAGAGATGGCTGCACTCTCATGTTCACTGCACCGTATCCACAGTCATCCACTCTCTTAGTTACGTCCTGCCCAAGTGAGTGGGCCACAGCAGCCTCTCTCAGTCCGCACCTCTTCCGAGGCTGCCCGAGAACCCATGAAGAGACAGCTGTACAAGGGAGCACTGGGAGCAAGAGACCCACCTGAGGCCCACCACATTACTGCCTGGGGCACCCCTTCTTGCCTGTGCCCTCCACCCAAAACCAATTAAACTGTCTTTTCCAAAATAAAGCCTGGTTTTGCCAGCTGGAAGAAAAAAACAGAATTCAATAACATTAAATGAGCACCAGACATTCCTGGGGAGCAATGGCTGTGAGCAGCAGAAACTCAGGAAAGCTCTGGAAATCCAGAGACAAGATTAGTAATTACCTGAGTGACACTCAGGTGACTAATTAGAGACTAACGGAGAAGGAGCTTCTGAAAAGACCACGGGGCTTCAAGAGCAAGTAGGAAGAATTCAGATTTCGTACACTAGGCAATGGAGAGTCCCAGAAGCTTGGGAGGTGGGAAGCTGGCTATGGAATCAGCTTCCTGGCAGAGGGTGGGGAAAGACAAGAAATGATGGGGTTTCCCTGGGCCACCCTAGTGCTCAGGGCCTAGCTGGAAGACAGGCTGCAGGAGTACGCCAAATAGTACTTGGAGTTTAGAAATGGAAAGTGAGGGAGAGGGATAATTCAATAAGGACTGAAATTTTGAACCTAAAGGAAGTCTGAAACATGGGACTCAGGAGTTAGTTTGGAATTAATAGATTATAGACTTAAAGAGGAACAAATGAAAAAGTACATGCATATTAGATTTAAAAGGCAATATATTCTTAAGTAATCTATATTAAAGATAGAAGTTGAAATTTTTTAAATAGACTCTTAAATTTTGAGATAGACTTCTAACAACATAGATAAATAATTATATATACTTTTATGTCAAAAACTTCCCAGGCTGGCAAGATAGCTCAGCAGACTAAGTGCCTGCTTTGGTAAGCGAAGGGACAAGGGTTCGATCCTGGTCACTCCCGGGCATGCTAAGCCTGCCACAGAGTCCAACTGTGGTGATGGATGGCTGTAATCGCAGTGCTGGGGAGGCTGAAATCAGGAGAATCAGTACAAGTCCATGCTGTGTAGTGAGACCCCATACCAAATATATAAAAAATGGAAAAAAAAAAAAAACCCAAAACTTCCCACCTTATTTAAACCCTATCTAATTGTATCATTGTAAGATGCTACAATGGATTGTGACAAAATATCTGAGGATACAAGAGTGGGCTGGACAGGAAGTTCTGCATACAGAAATTAATAAAACAAAAAGAAATGTCAATTTGCAAATTCATTCCTAGAGACAAATTTTCACCACTAAAGTTGATAATTTGAAGTACGATGTGAATCTATTTTATTTGTTTCCATTCAAACTACTTTCTCTAAAATCAACATAGTTTTCCAGATGGCAGAATTAATTATCTTCTTTTTTTTGTGGCCGCTCAGCTTGCCCTGGGGGTGGGGCTGGCACAGTGTGTGGTGCTGGGGATGGAACCACGGTCCCTGCACTTGCCTAAGCTTGCCTAAGCAGGCGCTTTACACCACTGAGCTATCTTGCTAGCCCAGAATTAATTATCTTAATGAATAATATAGTTCATAAGAGCACTAATCTCAAGCTTGCTCTCCTAAGAACATTGCCAAATATGTTATGATTGCACACTTAATGGTATCATCTGTGTCTTGCAAATATATCTTTATATTCATATCTGCTCTGCTGGCTCTACTTCATACCTTTACATTGATATGATTATCAATATGAATTATTCCCCAAAACATATGTTCTCCAAGCCTCACCTGATATTGGTTCCTTGGGAGAACTGAGTTTCAGGTGCTGGTCTTCCAATGAAAGGTTCATATTGATATTATATGGTGGATCATCTAAGAAAGAAGGCCTTCGTAGTCTTCCAATGCCAAGAGTCTTTGACATAAAATAGTCTTCTGTGTTACTAACAACCTCATCTTTGGAAAACTGGAGGCATTTCACATTCTCTGCTTCAATGACAAGGGTTTCTGCCATATAATGCCCAGCCAAGGTTTGGGTGAGATGATAGTCTACAGAACCTTCACGCTCTGCATGCTCGTGCATATCTCCATCCTCCTCCTCTGTTTTCTGGGTTTCTGCTTCTGATCCATTTAGTAACTCTAACAGGATAGATCTTGAAATTCGGGGCAAGTCAGCCATCTTATTCTCAATGCCTTCATTTTCCTTTTTGGAAATCCACCCAGTGATGGATTTCTGTTTGAATGTGTACTTATCCAGGAGACACTTTAGCTGTTCTTCAGAGAGAAGTGATGTGGACTCTAGCTAAGGAAAAAAAAAAAAAAAACAGGTCTTCATAGTCAATTGATTAAGTAAATGTGTTTAATGTTAGCAAGATTCCAATAGTACAAAATAAATGCCAGTACCAGAAATCCCCTCTAGATAAGACATGTAGGTAGGAAAATAATTCATTTCAAAGTATCCAAAAGTGTAGTGAAAATGGATAGCAGCCATAGAGAAAAAGCTTCAAATCAATCGTATGACCTGTAATCTGGGGTTAGGCTACAAATCCTACAACACTGAAGAAAATAAATTACTGTACCAGATTAACCACTGACATCCTTTCTAAACTTGAGTTTAAGTGGACTGATTGGCAAAAATACTTTTAATTGTAAAAATCCTGGCTCAACCAGCAGGAAATAGAGACAACTGTCTCCGATAAACAGCCAGCAATCCTGCCATAATCTCTAGCAGGTATTTCTCTGTCTCTTCCCTTTCCTCAAAGTGAGCCAACACCCTCAAGTCTGGGACCTGAGGCAGAGACCTCAGACAATCAGGGCAGATCAAACCTGCCCGCCCGAAGCATTTGCCACTCCTATGTCTGTCCACAGCTGGCAACAGACAACAATGCTGAAGACAACAGGAAGGGTGAAAGAGCTGCACATCCTGACAGGTCTAGGCAGGGCCCAGGGCCTTTCCAAGAGGAGCACATTGTGAACAAAGGACTGGATGAGACATACAGTATTTAATCTCTGCTTCTAAGGATTATTGGGACTGGATGTTTCAGCCAAAGCCTTAAGGGTTTAAAAACACATTTTTCTTTGGTGATATTCTCATCAAATAAGTAAAAATAAATCAAGGAAAAATAAAAGTCCATGGTCTATAGGAATTTAACTAAACAAATTACTTGAATTTCAACAAAAAGGAGTAGTGTTAAAATATATGGAAACATATTAGAAAATAGGTCTCCTCTAATGAATCAGCATCTGTCTGGATCCACATGCTGAATTACCTAGGAAAACTAAGTCACCTGGGCTGGGGAGATAGCTCAGAGGTCTAAGCGCCTGCCTGGCAAGCACAAGAACCCAAGTTCAATCCCCAGTACCACAGGCCTTGCCGGCACCTACCTGGACCCTGCTATATTTACACAATCATCAGAACAGAAATATTAAAGTTTTGAGGGGCAGCCTGATAGCTCAGCAGACTGAAACACCTGCTTAGGCAGAGGAAAGCAGCCAGGGTTCGATCCCCACCATGCCAATGCCATGCTGGTCCCGCCCACGGGGAGTGCTGAGATGGTGATAGAGACTGGGCATGGTGGTGTGCACCTGTAATCTGAGCACTTGGGAGGCTGAAAACAGGAGAATCACTATGAGTCTGATCTATGTAGTGAGACCCTGTAGGCCCTGCCCTAAATACAGAAGAAGAAGAAAAAATAAAGCTTGAGATAACAAAAAACTTGTGATTTAACTCTTGTGTGGAAATGAGAGGAGAGAAAGGAGTATTTGGAGTAACAAAGTTAAATCATTGGCTATAATTCAGGAACCAATATATAATGTCTAAAACTAATCAATTAAGAAGGTCCATTATTGACCTTAGCAGATACAGAAGTTACATCTCTTAATATATAGGTCTTGCTTTATCTTGGTCTTAACCATCCAGCAGAAAAGTATAAAAATGAGGTATATAAAGTAAATCCATATTAATATGTTGAGCTGTGAAAGGTTCAAGTCAACAACTTCTGCAGATAACCCACTACTATTGTGGACTGCTGGACCGTGTTGGATTGTTTGGCTGAATTCACGCACCTATAGTATTTAAATGCCAATGGAATACCCATCTTTGACAGGACTAAACAAGAAAAGGGGATACAAAGGAAGGACCATTTTGTATTTGTATATACAGAATAGTTAGGATAGATACAGCTACTTTGGCTTAATTCAATGAGAAGAAAGATTTGTACTAATAGTGTTTGGACAGGATATCTTGTCTGCTTCTTGTACTATGGATAACCATTCAGAAGGCAATAATGTACAAGGCACTAATTATTGAAACTGTCCTATTCATCAAGTTTGAAACTGTCTCATTGCTATTTGTTTCTCAATAAAATAAATAAAAAGGTCAGTTTTTAAAAGTTAATATAAAGGTAAACATTGAGGGAAACAACTAAAGGAATTAAAAGTGCTGTATCTGAAGAATATAGAAAAGCAAATCCAGAGAGAAAAATCTGAGTCAAGGAACTACTATTTGTTTAAACATTTTAACATAACTTTTTATTATTGCAATAAAAATTTAATTTCATTTGAAATAAAATTTAAATATATTTTTAAAACTAATAAAAATTAATTTTAAATAAATTTAAAATACTTAAATAAAATTCCCAACTGATTGTATCTTTGGACATCAGAAGCAGAACCAGGCTTCATGGGCTCTGAAACATACAATCTAGGACCAGAAACACATATAATCTTGTAAAATAAAAGAAATAGCTCAGTGGACTAAGCGCTTTCTTAAGCAAATGTAGAGGCCAGGGCTCAATCCCTGGCACCATATGCCATTCCGACCCGGCTCCCCAAGCACACTGAGCTGGCGATGGAGTCTGGGCATGTTGGTGCATGCCTGTAACCCTAGCACTAAGGAGGCTGAAACAGGAGGATCACTACAAGTCTGAGCTGCATAGTGAGACCACACAAACACAGAAAAAGAACTAAAATAAAAGAATATGAAATTTAAAATATAAAGTCAGATAAAAGTTCACAACAGTAGCTTCTGCAATGGGAGGAGGGCTGTGACTCAGTGGAGCTCTGACAAGGTGTGGGGGTAGGATTCACCAAAGTCCCCAAGGCTGTCCAGGGCACAGTGTGGCTTCATCAGAAATAACTTCTTGGGTAAAAAAAGAAATAACAACCACAATAGCCATAATGAAGGATTTGCTCAGCATACCTAAAGGAGACACAGAAAAGAAAAATGGAGCATAAAGACGGAAACCTTGAATGAAAAAATATAGGAAAAAATTATTGATATTCTAAATCAATCACCTTGAAAAAGCCAGAAAGAAGCACTAGCCCAAACCCATACAGGAAAAGCCCCTGTTCTGTATTCATGCCTGCTTGCCACATGGCTCACTTCCCCATTTGATCCAGGTTTAATCAGTTTTACCTGAACAATTATACTTGTAATCTTATTGGACCATAGTTTTGTCCCACCCCATGTGTGAGTTCCCATGTTTTCCATTTTAGAACTGCCTCCCTTCATGGTTCACTCTATAAAAATCCCTAGAAAAGTCAGGCTCTTTGGCAACCTACTCAGGTGCCCTTCTGTCCCTTTCTTAGACAGAAGCTTTCTTTCCCCCAGTAAATATATTCTGCTCTTAAAAGCTGCCGTATGGGCTGGAGAGATGGCTCAGTGGTCTAAAGCACCTACTTAGAACAAGCTTAGCAAAAGCATCAGGGACCGCGGTTCAATCCCCCAGCACCACATGCCAGCCAGCCCCGCCCCCTGGTGGGCTGGGCTGGCCCCCCCCCCCACACACACACACACACACACAATTAAATAAATAAATAAATAAAAAAAGCTGCCGTAGAGGACTGGTGAGATGGCTCAGTGGTCTAAAGCACCTACTTATAACAAGCTTAGCAAAGCACAGGGACCGTGGTTCAATCCCCCAGCACCACATGCCAGCCAGCCCCGCCCCCTGGTGGGCTGAGCTGGCCCTACCCACACACACACACACACACACACACAATTAAATAAATAAATAAATAAAATTTTTTTTAGAAAAGCTGTCATAGAAAAGAAATTGATCACCTACAAAGGAAAGCCCATCAGAATTATGGCAGATTTCTCAACACAAACCATCAAGTCAAGAAGAATGTGCAGTGAAGTATTTTAGGTACTGAAAGAAAACAACTTCCACCCAGATTGATGCACCCTGCAAAACTTATCTACCAAACTTAATGGACAAAAAAGATACTTCCATGACAAAAAAGAACTGAAGAAATTCATGACCACCAAACCAACCCTACAAAGAGTACTGATAGATATTCTAGAAAGAGACAAAAATGATCACAACTTCAGAGTAAGCAATAAAAAAAGTTCACAACAAATTAGCATCTTAGACAGTTAAGTCCATCTCTTACATTATGTTTTTCAGTTATTGACCAAAACTTCTCACAAAAGCATTTGATATTGCAAATTCACTTCTGCTCCCATCCAAACTTGTACCACTGATGGACCCTGCCTGTAACTACACTGAGTTCATAGTAAATCTGGTTCTACATAATCTGAGATAAAACATAGCCCATTTTAGCCTGGAAGTATTCAGAAACACCTGCACTACAAGTACCCTGGTGCTCGTGGAGGAAAGATCTTGATAAGAAAGACTATACAGAAGACTAGAACCAGGGCTCCCACCCAAGTTCTGTCATCTAAGCATGTTTATTTATGCTCTCTCTTCATCTGTGAAATGAGGGGTTGAAGATAATGATTAAACTAACTTCTCACTCTAACTTTTTTTTACAAACAAATACTCTAAAAATAAGATGCTGGAGGTATAGTTCACTATACTTAGCCAGAGCACTGGGCTGCACCTCCAGCACCACCAAAAAGTAAAAGAAATGAAAGACTATCTATTGGCATAACAGTATAGCCCTGGTAAAATTATAAAAACTAAACAATAAGAAAAAGAGAGCTTCCATTTCCTGGGATTCTTCACAGTATCAATGTTGACCTCCAAATATTATAAGTAAAAGTTAATCAAATATATACATATTTAATTTGAATAACCTGATTAGTGTTTCTGGGCAGCAGTACAAGCAGAAATTGCAACACAAGCCATCTTTCTCTTTTGATTCTCAGCAGTGCTTTGCCCAAATAGGAAGCTCTGTAAATGATTATTATGAGACTTGTAAGTTCAGGCTGCCTCACATGTTTGATAAAGAACTATACCAATAGGAATCATTTACAAGCCTGGGTTGGACTAAACAAGGGCTCTCTCAGAAACATCCCAACCATTCTGGACAGTCACAGGGCTTTGTCACTTTCAC